TTTTATTTTCATCATTTTTTTGAAGGCTTGTTCTCACCTGAAAGGTGTTAGTGGCCAATTCCACTGTTACTTATTAAAGTAATAATAATATTGATTAATAATAACAATGTAGAGTCTTAGGATAAATACCTATCTGATCCTTCAAGATTCTATTTGTATGAACATAATCATATGGTCCTAATTATGGAACAGAACAGAGGAAAGAATAACTTGTGCCCTTCAGAGCATTTGTTCTTTACAAATCTGGGGTGTGAGAAGCCTCCTTCAAGTTTTCTGTCCCATTCCCCACCCTAGACGTCTATTGGGTATTCACTAAAATGAAGAAGTGCACTTTTACACTTATCTGTGAAAACGGGGGAAGAATTAACTGAAAAACTTACACCAGATGTTTCCTTTTTATTATTATTATTATGCTTTAAGTTCTGGGGTTCATGTGCAGATCATGCAGGATTGTTAAATAGGTATACACGTGCCATGGTGGTTTGCTGCATCCATCCTCCCATCATCTACATTAGGTATTTCTCCTAATGTTATCCCTCCACAATCTCCCTACCCAATGCTATCCCTCCCCTGGCCCCATTACCCCCCAACAGGCCCCAGTGTGTTATGTTCCCCTCCCTGTGTCCATGTGTTCTCATTGTCTAACACCCACTTATGAGTGAGAACATGCAATGTTTGGTTTTCTCTTCTTGTGTCAGCTTGCTGAGAATGATGGTTTCCAGATTCATCCATGTCCCTGAAAAGGACATGAACTCATCCTTTTTTATGGCTGCATAGTGTTCCATGGTGTATATGTGCCACATTTTCTTTATCCAGTCTATCATTGATGGACATTTGGGTTGGTTCCAAGTCTTTGCTATTGTAAACATTGCCACAATTAACACACATGTGCATGTTTTTTTATAATAGAATGATTTATAATCCTTTGGGTATATACCCAGTAATGGGATTGCTGGGTTAAATGGAATTTCTATTTCTAGATCCTTGAGTAATTGCCACACTGTCTTCCACAACGGTTGAACTAATTTACACTCCTACCTACAGTGTAAAAGCATTCCTGTTTCTGCACATCCTCTCTAGTATCTGTTGTCTCCAGATTTTTTAATAATGCCATTCTAAATGGCATAAGATAGTGCCTCGATGTGGTTTTGATTTGCAGTGATGATGAGCTTTTCTTCGTATGTTTATTGTCTGCATAAATATCTTCTTTTGAAAAGTGTCTGTTCATATCCTTTATTCACTTTTTATGGGGTTGTTTCTTTCTTTGTAGATTCTGGATATTAGCCCTTTGTCAGATGGGTAGATTGCAAAATTTTTTCCCATTCTGTTGGTTGCAAGTTCACTCTAATTCTGGTGCTGTGCAGAAGCTCTTAAGTTTAATTAGATCCCATTTGTCTATTTTGGCTTTTGTTGCCATTGCTTTTGGTGTCTTAGTTATGAAGTCCTTGCCTATGCCTGCGTCCTGAATGGTATTGCCTAGGTTTTCTTCTAGGTTTTTTTTTATAATAGGCCTTATGTTTAAATTTTTAATCAATCTGGAGTTAATTTTTACATAAGGTCATTTTTCATTATATTGATTTGGGTCTTCTCTGTTTTCTTTGTTATTCTAGCTAGTGGTCTATGGTTCTTTTGTTTGGTTTTGTTCTTTGTTTTGTTTTGTTTTCAGAAAACCAACACCTGGGTTCATTGATCTTTTGAATGCTTTTTCATGTCTGTTTTCTTCAGTTCTGCTCTAATTTCTGTTATTTCTCATCTTCTAGCTTTGGGGTTGATTTACTCTTACTTCTCTAATTATTTTAGTTGTGAAGTTATGTTGTTAATTTGAGCTCTGTCTAACTTTTTGATGTGGGCATTTAGTGGTTTAAATTTTACTCTTAACACTGCCTAAGCTGTCTCCAGAAATTCTGGAATGTTGTGTCTTTGTTCTCATTAGTTTCATAGAATTTCTTGATTTCTGCTGTAATTTCATTATTTAACTTAAATTCATTCAGAAGCATGTTTAATTCCATGTAACTATAAAAATTGAGCAATTTTTATAGTTTTGACTTCTATTTTTATTGTGCAATTGTCCAAGGAGTGTTTGGTATAATTTTGGTTCTTTCACATTTGTTTAGGAGTGCTTTTTGTCTAATTATGTGGTTAATTTTAGAGCATGTGCCATGTGGCAATGAGAAAATGTGTGCTATATTGTTTTGGGTTCGAGAGCTCTGTAAGGGTCTGTCAGATCCACTTGGTCCAATTTTGAGTTTAAGTCCCAAATATCTGCTCATTTTCTGCCTTGGTGGTATCTAATACTGTCAGTAGAGTGTTAAAGTTTTCCATTATTATTATATGTCAGTCTGTGTCTTTTTGTAGGTCTCTAAGAAGTTTATTTCTGAATCTGAGTGTTCCAATATTGGATGCATACATGGGATAGTTAGGTCTTCTTTAATTGAACCCTCACTGTTATGTAATGCCATTCATTGTCTCTTTTGATCTTTGTTGGTTTAAAATCTGTTTTGTCTGAAATTAGGATTGCAACCACTGCCTTTTTTTCTGTTTTTTTCCATTTGCTTGGTAGATTTTCCTCCATTCCTTTATTTTGAGCCTCTGAGTGTTATTATGTGTGAGATGAGTCTCTTGAAGATGGCATACCATTGGGTCTTGATTTTATAACCAGCTTGCTACTCTATGCCTTTTCAGTGGGAGCATTTAGCCTGTTTACATTCAAAGTTAGTATTGATGTGTGGATTTGATCCTGTCCTTGTGCTGCTAGCTGGTTGTTATGCTGGCTTGTTTGTGTGGTTGCTTTACAGTGACACTGCTGTGTGTGTTTAAGTGTGTATTAGCCGTTAGCAGTTATTCCTTTCTATATTTAGTGCTCCATTCAAGATCTCTTGTAAGTCAGTGGCAATAAATTCCTTCAACATTTGCTTGTCTCAAAAAAAGTTTATGTCTCCTTCACTTAGGAAGCCTAGTTTGGCTGGATATGAAATTCTTGGTTAAAGATTTTTTTATTTAATAATGTTGAATATAAGCCCCCAATCTCTTCTGGCTTGGAGGGTTTCTGCTGAGAGGTCTGCTGTTAGCCTAATCGAGTTTCCTTTATAAGTGACCTGTCTTTTCTCTCTAGCTGTTTTAACATTCTTTCTTTCATTTCTACTTTGGAAAATCTGACAATTATGTGTCTTGGGAATTATCTTCTTGTGTAGAGTCTTGCAGGAGTTCTCTCTCGCATGTGCATGTGCTCTTTCTCCCTCTTTCTCCCGAGTGTTGGCCTCTCTAGCAATGTGGGGAAGTTTTCATGAATGGTATTCTGAAAAATATTTTTCAAGCTGTTTTCTTTCTTTCTCTTGCTTTCAGGGATAACAACGATGCATAGTGGCCTCTTTACATAGTCCCATACTTCTTGGAGATTTTGTTCATTTCTTTTTACTCTTTTTTCTTTATTTTTGTCTGTCTTATTTCACAGAACAATTCTTCAAGTTCTAAAATCCTTTCCTCAGCTTGGTTTATTCTGTTGTTAATACCTGTGATTGCACTGTGAAATTCTTGTGTTGTGTTATTCAACTCTATCAGACCTGTTAGGCTCTTTTTTATACTGACTATGTTATGTGCATGCAAATTGACTCCAGAAAAATGAAAATAGAAAGCTGGCTTAGTGATGCATTTTGTATAGTCAGTGTCCCTATATGAAATAAATAGCATATTCTGGATTATTTTGAAGGTTCCTAACAAATGAAGTATTCACAAATATGTGAGTTGGAATTGCAAGAGATAATGCAGTGACCTGGGATTAGTAGTAGGGAAACTGGTACAGCTCCTAGGCCTAAAAGGAAGAAGAGAGACAGTGGTTATCAGACCCAAGATGGAGAGAACCATGGAGAGAAAGCCTCCTTTAGAAAAACAGAGCCCTCATTTGAAGAATCCAAGTGGTCTCAGTAATCCTTGCAGTAACTTTCAAGGATGAATTTTCTGACATTATTCTCACTCTACCTTTTGATTTCCAGCTAGGGTTCCCAAACCCATAGGAAGGCATGAGCATTGTACACAACAGCTTTCCAAGGCAGAGAATAGGATAGAGAAGAAAGTCACCAGAAAGCAGCCAGAAAACCACATGTGTACAAACAATTATCAGTATAATTATACATCACAACTGCCTAGCTTATTAAGATCTGTAAGAAATGCTATGAGAGATTTGAAAAAAAACTTTATGAATTAGAGCAAAAGCATACTTGTGCTTTCGACCAAATCTTTCTTAGAATGTCTTCTCCAAAGAAAATTATTTATCCTGCATTGCCAGAGGGTTAGTAGGACCAATTTTCAGCATGGCAAACAAAAGACAGTGATACACAGCTTCTGAGAACCATTGACACACAGTTGCTGAGACTTGCCACCAGACTGTCTGTGAGCCCTTGCTTGTCCCTCCCAGCCCAGCCCTGCCTGACTCTAAATCCTTCCCTGACCTAAGTGATGTTCTAACTCAAGCAAGTCCTTCCTTGGACTAGTGAGTGGTTTCACTCCCAATCTTTCCTTTCCTCCCTTCACCAGAAGGCTTACAGTGTGATGCCCCCTACCCAGTCTTTGAGCACAATATTTGAAACAACTAACCACTCATTTGAGCATTAGAAAATGGAATTTACTGTTAAATATCTAAGACATTGTAATATATGGTTTGCTAGGGGGGATCTGGTGTATGATGGGAGTTGGGACAGAAATTGAAAGATAGACAGGCCTGAGTGCCAGGAATGCAGACCTTATATCTTGAGAGTGAAGGGAAGTCAGTGAAGTGATGTGGTCAGACATGGATTCGAAAGATCATCTGGCTGCCATGCAGAAGGAATCAAAGGAACATGAAAGAGGTAGGGAAAGCAGGTCTGGGTGAGTGCAGAACTGAGTGGGAGTTAAGGGGTTGAAGAGGAATTTCTTGAGCATTTCTCATGAGTCTCTTACCAGAAAATGGGCAAACTATTCAAATCATCATTTTTACAGAGAAGGAAACTGAGGCACAGAATAATACATGGCATGCATAATATATACAATGTATAATGCCTCTGGGTGTCTTCTTGTTCATCGCAATATGGTCTTTCGACTTCTGCGCTCTGAAATGATTAATTACTTAGCTTCATGAATACCCTGTAGACTATAGTGTTATCATGGTCATAACTTTAGACTTCATAATAGAATCTCATGAGCCATCCTTCCCACACCACCATGGTATTAGAAGCTGGAAATTGGCCTTCTGACTTCGGCTTTAGACATAATAATACAGTCTCCTGGCCATCTTCCCTGAACATTATAATGCAGTTTCTAGCTTTTCTTAGTATGCTATGTTTTCTAGGCATCAATTTGGACATTTCATTTCAGTCTATGACCACTATCCCTGGGATGTAGTCCTAATAAACAGATGAGCACCTGGGGTTTGATTCTGCCAATTTCTAGCTTGTTCTCTATTTACTCTCCATCTTAACATTCCAGCAGGCCTTGCAGCAGAGCCTGTGTAGAATTATGACAAGCTACAAAATTTTAAGACTTGAGCATGCTGGCAAGTTTGATTATTTTTTCTACAACGCCAACAAATAAAGGGAACAATGGAGTTATCTATTTGCAGGATACAGTTAGGAAATGCATTTCTTTAAAAAAATCAAAATGTCAGTGTAAGATAAAGCATCTAGCCTTTGTTCAATTCATCAAAATTTTTTTTTATTCTTTAACTTAGTGGACAGACATGTCCGTTGTGACCAGTGCCTCCTAGATCAATATTATACTTGGTTCTCTGTGAAAAGAGACTTAACAGAGGCAAAATGTGACAATCCATGACATCTTCTTATTCCTGCCCAGGGGACTTTAGTGCTAATGATCTGCAATGGCTATTGAGGAGAATGGGTGTTCCCACAAAAAGAGTTTTCTACCTGGCTACAGGGACTCTCCAGCCATCAGGACTATAAGGGAATGAAGAAAAAGAACAGAGCTGATCATCACTGCTGTATACTTTGAGTTATAACTTCAGTCTTGAATGAGAAGTCTTAAAGCATAGCTTCTCTGATATTGAAAGTTAAATAAATGTCTTCAGCTTATTTTCTTTTAACTTCCCTCTTCACAGCATTAATTCAGATCTTTTTGTTGACATGCAGTAGAAGTCACGGAAAGGACAACACATCTGAAAGCCCACTGCCCAAATCTAGTTATACCTGCACAAGCAACATCATGTTCTGCTCAGCTGCTGGGACGGGTTTATATGAGGGTGTTTAACACTCCCATAAGGAAGACGTAAAAGAGCAGTTGAAGATGAGGACCTGCCTTGAGTCTGACAAAGAGAATAACTCCTCTTAACTCCAGACATGAAATGAGAGAATAACTTTATCTTAACTCCTGACACCAAAGTAAACAAGAAGAAAGTTATCCTCCTGGGGTCTAAGTCTTGGGAAACAAGTTTTGTCCAGAGTAAGTAAAGGCGTGACATAGGCATTTTCTTACAGAATAGCATCAGTCCTACAGAAAGGAATCCCAAGTTCCCTGGGAGATCCTGAAAGACTGAATCGAATGCAAGAGGATAGTTCCTAGTTTTCTCTCTAAAAATGTGAACTCACCGCTTACCTTGTGGCAAAGTCACAGAGTATATCTGGTGGAAGGGAGCTACTCATCTCAAAATATCAGAATAACTTTGTTAATGGAGATGAAAATAATGCTGAGAAAGCAAATGAGTGGGTAGAAAGTAGATCATTGCAACAGAGAAGTAATAAAAATCTCTCTGTGCTGTGGTATGTCATCCACTCAGAGTATGTGGAAGCCTTACCTAGAGCAAGAGAAAGGACCTTTGCTTCTTGAAATTTAACTCAGTTAAAAGCATCATATAAGCTCACATTAGTTAATAGCGTTTTAGTATGTATCAAAAGTTCACAAAATCTGCATATTAAAGTGACCTTGTGCTGAAACACCTTCAGGAATGCCAGTGGAGCAGAAAGACGTTAGTTACTACAATGAGAAAGCATGACTGTGCTAGATCACATGTGGAAAACAGCCCCAATTACCTTTTTCTATGTTCTCTCCTACACAAGCCCAAGAGCTTCATTTTTTAGCTGTCGCTTTGCCAATGAGGGACTCACATGAGAGATAGAACGTAGAAGAGAAGCAGAAGTCACATTATTGTTTTTGTGGCAGATGTAGGCAGATTCATCAGTTTCCGCAGATGGTGGATATTTGCCAGGAGTTTGGGGCATTCTCTGGTGAATCACTCACTTTAATGCTGCATGCAGCTGACGTAACTGATGAAGGTTTTTCCACTTTATGTAGCATGATTTCCCAGAAGCTTTAGAAGCTTTCCTTTTGCTTCTAGGGATAATCCAGTGCTACTGTAGTTTTCTGTATGCAACATTTTCCTGCTTTGAATCTTATAATGCTTTTCATTTTCCTGACCAAATCTCATCTGGAAATAGGATACTGCTGAGATGGGGGTGGGAGGAGGAGATGGCTTAGGAAGAAGCAGCCACTGGGAGGAGAAAAAGGTATTTGTGGCAGATTTCATCAAGTTTTCTGGGAATGTGGAATTGGAGTCTTGCCTTTGATGCCCTACACTTTCAACAATTTTAATTTGGGTTATTTGTTCATGGAAACAATCATTGTACTCATAGAAACATAGCTGGATCACCTGGTTTCCATCTCTCTTTGATCACTCTTCTTTGTTATCTTATAAGCAGGCTCCTGTCCCTCTTCCATCTTCACCTTATAACTATATTCTATTATAGAAATTATAGCTATAATTATAATTTATAACTATATTCTATCTTCATTTGGTGGTTTTTTCAACAATTATGCTAGTTACTATTTTCCTGGAGTTTTCCAACTCTCTCAATCTATTTTATTTTATTCTATCTTTATTGAGGTATGATTGACAAATATCTGAATCTAATTTTAAATTGTAGCAAGCAGAACTCACTCACAATACACAGACCTATAGCAAGTATTTAATCAAAGATTCGCTAAATCTAGATTTAATGGCAGAAGCTGTTGCTTTCAATCCTCCTCTTGACAGTATCTCACATTTTATTGGCCTTTATGGCTGAAACAGCACATTGAACTAATGTTGCTACAAAACACTCTATAATTCTGAATCCCATGTCTCTCTCCTTATTAAAAGTAATAGCTGTGAACACACTCTTTAATGCGGTTTCATCTGGATTGTTGCTAGCCACAATACCTTCCATGCATCCACAGTGAAATTCATTATCCCCTCTTCTCCCAACTGAACAGTCTCCAGAGAAGTTAACATGTCCTGAAAACTTCAGGACTTCTCTAAGACCTTTCTCCTCCAAAGCCTGTATGGAAGAGTGCAAGGGCCTATCTAAGTGGAGACTCCTGCATTCTGTGAGATACACAGAGATCTTCTCTTAGCCCAGAAGGGAAGCAGATGTGCCATCAGCAAGGGGTGAATTAAGTCCTGTGCCAAACATAACGCAATGTACCAAAACGTTATAACAAGCCCATATTTTCTATTCGGATAATTTACTCAATTACAAAACTGCATGTTAGTGGCATTTTATGAGAGAAGTGATTAAAATGATCTCCTTCATCATTCCATCGGAAAATGTCAACCATGACAGTAGGGGGCATGAGGGGTAGGCTAACAAGAATTAAGGATTTTGATGTTGTTTTTTTTTTTATGTAATCATAAATTCCTAGAGCAATGACCCTCAAATGTGTTAATAATACTCCCATCAGTAATTTTTATATTATGAGTGTTATGACTATGACCAAGTAAATTTTAAAAGACTAAGTTAAGATAAACCATTTAAAAAATATTTTCTTATCCTGTTGGCTCTGTGCTATTAGTAGCTAACACCAAAATATAGACTTAGGGCTAAGCTTCTAAGAATCATATTGTTTTTAAAGATGCTTCAAGTAGCCCTGAATTTTGATTTTCTCTGTGGCTAATTTACTTCAGATATTATGATATTATCACTGCTTCTGCTTCTTAAGGTGGACAAAAGGTGCTCATCTATGTGTGGAAGTGTCTGCACTGCTGATTTATGGACATTTCTTTTTTCCTTGCATTCTACATGGTACTTTCCCTCTGTGGTTTCTTTGCAGGAATTTTAAAATTCCTTTATGATATCTGTTGCAAAGCCTATTACAAGAAGGCTAATTTAGTTTAAACTAGATGCAACACATCACGATGTGCCACAGGTGAATGAAGTGTAAGGCAGTACTGCCAACTCCCTTCTGTTCTGGAACCTTGATATTTTATCAGCTAAACTTGAGGCAGGGCTGCCAGTATGTGGACCAAGTAAAGATGCCAGTGTCAATCCGTATTGTAAATATATAAGTAAAGCTTCAGTCTTGTGTTTTTTTTGTTGTTGTTGGTTTTTGTTTTTTTGAGAACAAATAGAAGAGAGATCTGAATGCTTTTTATCCATGTCACAATGGGTGACCTTAAGCACCCCGAGTGTGTGCAGTCCATTTTGGGAACCACCGGGGGAGAACACTGCTTGCCAGTAGTGGTTCATAGACCAAAAAGACAATATTGTTCTGTCTGCCAACAATTCTTGACTAGGTCCACCACCCACTTCTGGCTTTTAAACAATGGCTGTGCTTTCTCCATTCCTTTATGATATCTGTTGCAAAGTGTGTTTTCCACTAAAGTTTGAAGTGTACACAAGGCCCAGCATGCTGTCTGGAAAACTGGACTTTTCTCTTAGGTGGTATCCTTAGAAAACCAGAGCCCAAAGGACTTTTTTGACTTCTCTGCTCACAATTTATTATCTTTCAGTGCAGGAAGTTATGAGAAACAGGAGGGAAAAATGTGGCTTTGGGGTCAGTAGACCAGCAGGTAGGAAACAGAGACCTGGTCACAAGCTGGCTGGCCAGTCTTGTCCTTGGGGCATGGCTTGAGTGAGGGAATGCAAGAGGCTGCATTCCAGTTCCCTGGCATGCTAAGAACCCACAGCCATGGCTGCAGAGTATCTGAAACCCCTCCTGAGCCAACTGCAAGGATAGCGCCTGTGATGGCAGACGGATAGCACTCCTCTGCAGAAGGTTTTCTCTTAGAGTCGCTAGTCATTCCATTCCTCGCTTCAGCTGTACACAGGGATCTTGAAGACCCAGAAGAAGCAAGGGGAAGCCAAAACTGATGTTTAACCGATATGTCTTAGGTGCTCAGAAGTAACTCTAAATGCTTCAGTTTTATTTATCTATTAAAATAGACTTAAAACTTTATATTGAGGGAAATGAACAGTTAAGGTTTGTGCACATAAGCATGATAATCGCACCTATGTTTAGAAGCAACAGCACTGGCAGTGGCTGTCTTGGGAGAATGCCAAGAGGTTAGAGTTTATTCATTTGAAACACCCATTTTTTTCTGAGGTTCTTGCACCGTTGTGTTTAATTAAGTCCCACGTTGAAAGTACAAGCTCTTTGGTCAGCAATTCCAGTTCTCTATGCACCATTCCGTTCTATTGCTTGCTCATTTCTAGGTCTGAGAGAACCATTCAGTCCTATACCATGATGTTACACAGAGCCCTCCACCCCCCAAACCCCTACCCCCTTTAAAGTATAAGAGCTTAAGTCAAGACTCTGTGAATACATACTGAGTCCCCAGGTGTCTGGAGGTTTCACATCTGCACACCTTCTTTTATTTCCAAAGAAAATAGCCTGGGCTTATTTTTCTACAACATTAGCATCAGCCCTCTCAGTAATAGACTTAGGAATAAGTCCTCATAGCAAACAAGGGCCTCCATGTGTGACAATGAGGGGGAGTGCGGTTACAAAACACATTTCTGTTTCAAGAGTTTACTTTCAACAATCACAAGGGTGAAAATGAGCTGAACAATTTGAAAGAACCTGTCACTACTATTTCAATGCATGGATCTGGGGAGATATAAATTCAACAGCTCACTTGTGAAAAGTCCTAGCTAGATTTATATCTCCCTTGGCCATCAAAATAATCAAAGAAAGAAGAAGCAAAAAGAAATGTGGAAAAGAAGCGGGGAAAAGGGAGACATATTTTATGATTCTGTATTATGTGTCAAACCCTGTGATAGGCACTTTCTTATATATAATTTATATATTCCCTACAATAGACCAGTAAATGTGATAGTTACATCTTGCCAATTTTAGATAAATATGTCATATTAATCAAAAATGAAGAAGTCGTACAGGATTTGTTGAAGTCACACATTAGTACAGGTATCAATTTAAAATGATCCAGAATGATAAAATTCCATTTTTCCTTTTTGCCCTTCAGAGGAAAACTCTTTCCTTGGATTATAACAATCCAGATTATTTACTCCTTCTCCTTAGAAGTTATTCGTGTTGTCTAACAAAATATACTTTGGTTTATTGAATGTTATTATTCAAAAGCTGCAACTTTGGGCCACCTTCTCTCAAAAAAGCAAGGCTCCTCACTCAAATAGTCTCTTCAGCTGCCACGGGCTCTCTGGGAAATGTCCTCCTTTCTCCTCCCTTGTCTGTCTTACTTTCATTTGCTGTCAGATGCGAGTCTTGATCCGAGCAACAAGGGCAAAGTAACCAGAGCCAAAGAAGAAGATACCAGAGACTTTCTGATATGTTGGCTACACCTCTCTCTAGACTCATGCCCCAATCTCCAACCACACAAAGCTCCTGGCAGCCCTCATGCCTCTAGTCTCTTCTCATGATGTTCCTGCTAGCTGCAATTCTATACCCAACTTGTTGTACAAGAAAAATTCGCTTGCTGTCCTGACAGCTCCTGACATGACCTCCTTAGAGGCCATCCCTAATCCCTCAGTATGGTTAACATGGCTAACTTTGAGTAGCACTTGCATCTTGTCCCCTAATTATATTTTGTAACATTGCATGAGCTACTCATGTCCACACCCATGAGCTGTAAGCTGCTAGAGGGTAGAGTGCGTGTCATATTGTCTCCAAGTGTTGGACTTATGATGCTCATTAATATTCTCTCAATGTCCAAGAAAATCACGAGTGGAAGGACGATTGGCATTGCAGAAGAAAGTACAATGTAGATGTCCAGTGCCTTTGGACAACCTCAGAGGAAGACAAGCGTGGAGTGACCTAGATGTTGCTAGGGCAACTGCTAGCTCTGTTATTATTCTCAGGGTAGCTGAAGAAAATGGACATAAAATCCATTCTGTGGAACAGCAAACACAATAGCCACCTTGAGGCTCTACTACTTCAAACCCTTGACATAAATCTGACATTCTGTACAACTGTGGCAATGTCACACACACCCAAACTGCCCGTTTATCTCTGAAACTCATTTTCTATTCTAAATTCTTCTCCGCAATTAAGCTGACATGTAAATTTGAATTTCAGTAAGTGTTCCTAAACAGAAAGAGGATGATGAGGTTAGCAACATTTAATATAAGAAGAAATGGTGGAGTATTGCCCTTTAGACAAATGAGCTTCTAAAAATTGTGGGAAGGCAAGGTTAGGCTGTGCAAACTTTACACAGCAGCTGGTCAATAAGTGTTCATTTGTCTCCTCTTGTCCCTGAGAGCCTTTAAATAGTAGAACCCAAACTCAGTTGTTCTAACAGGTGTTGATACATTCACCTCGGTGGGAGCAGAAAGCAGTTGGAATCATAGGAGCTCTGGGAATCTGCAGCGCCCTCTTTAGAAAGGAATGTTTTTACTTCAGTCATAAAATTAGTCTAAAGTGATCCAATTGCTAAAGGAAATGAGAAGTTAGTGTCATTCACCTTATGGTGTCTAGCTTGTTCCACTTTGAATACTTTCATAGATGGAAGAAAACTCTTGTTGGAAAGAGAATAATCCTAAAATAAATGCCTTCTGGTGGGTTTTGATTGACACTGTACTGCAGGCTAGAACTGGGGCCTTTCCCTCCCTCAGAAGCTCTTGGCACACGGCCCATGTGTGTCTTGACTGTCTCTGACATAGACATTAGGGGAAGGGAAAGGAGCTAGTGCACCAACTGTTCAGCTGCTGGTATAATATTAGTGTTAAGTGGTCCACATGCTTTTTCTCATCCAATAACCCATCTTCACAGCCAGTAAAATGAAAACTCCAGCACCATATGTACTTTTACTCTGGTCATTTCACTTGCTTCAGTGCAAAGGGTTTTTTTTTTTCCTTCCTTGTGGGCTTTAAAGATGCATTTTTGGTTCTAGTTTTAATGAATTGAAGTTATGCTCTAGTTTGAAAATGTCTGTGTGGCAACATGCTGACGCACTCTGCCTAGGGTTGGGGCCAAATGTTACAAAGATCTCTATGGTTACTTCTAGTTCTTTGTACCCTGGATGCCTGTGTATAATGGAGAGAAGGTGATCCTAGAGGAATCATCCATTCAGGCCCCCATCCAGGACTACCCTCAGAGGCTATCATTTACTTTAAAACCTATCTCAATGGTGTCTATAGTAGCCCTGTATTTGGGGAACAACACTGGTATTATCTTTTGTAGCAGAGGTGACATGGACTGAATGTGATGTCCCAATTTATATGTTGAAATCTTCACCTTCAATTTCATGGTATAAGGAGGTGGAGCTTTTGGAAGGTGATTAGGTCATCAGGGTGGAGTCCTCATAAATCAGATTAGTGCCCTTATAAAAGAGACTCCAGAGAGTTCCCTTGCCCTTTCCACCATGAGACAACACAGCAAGAAGAGAGCTGTCTATGAACCAGGAAGCAGGCCCTCTTCCGATAGCAAATCTGCTAGTGTCGTGAACTTAAAGTTCCCAGCCTCCAGCACTGTGAGAAATGCATTTTTGTTGTTTAAGACACCAATTTATGGTATTTTTGTTATAGTATTCTGACCAGACTAAAATAAGAGGCATCAATAACAGATTCCATGCTACATGAATGCCTGATATTTGGATATCATGGACCCGTGGATGGCCCTGTGTTCTCTAAAGTGTGTACTCCCCTAAATGAGAGCAAAAATGCAAAAACTAGAAACTAAGATGCAGTAAACACAACTACCCTTTCCCTCAAAAGACCTCACCTTCCCGTACGCACACACTACAGAGCTACATCTTCAACCAAGTTGATGTTTCCAGAAGCCCCTTCTTATATTACTTAATGTATCATATTATATCATGCCATGTGATAGCATACAGATGAGGAAAAAGGTCAGCAATGCTATCCTGGGAGAATACATGGATGGATCTCAGAAATCCTCAAGTCCTCTGAATTTTTGTGCAAAGCATTCTGTCTGTATGAATATCTTCATTTTTATTCATGAGGAAAAGTTTCCATAGCTTTTATCAATTTCTCAAAGGGTTTTGAAACACAAAGTGGTTAGCAACCAGGAGCCTAAAGGTAATTCAAACCCTCATAAACACATTTGAACATGCCTCAGGTCTTCATTGTTTGGTAGTTTAGAACATGGTTTACCAGTTGTCTCTGTCCTCAGGGGTTACGATGCTGAGATCTTGTTTTTTTGGGGGGTCTTTCTTTTACTCCACTTGAATTTCTCTTTCCTCACTTCCTATGCTCCTCTCTAGCCTTTCTGTTTATCTGCGTGCAAACACACCTGCTGCCTCAAATTATCACTCAAAAGAAATGTTGGATTTCTCATTCCAGGAGTATTAATGGCAACAGAGCCTGTGTGCTTATCTTGTCTGTGTCCCAAGAACAGCAAACACCTCCAACAAAGCAGGTTTCCTTTTTAAATAAAGCAATCTCACACTTGTCATATTCGTCTCTGACAGAGCAGTTGTCTTCCCCAGCTCGCAGGCCCCTCATCCTCAGGAAGACATTTGACACCAAGGAGAAGATGCCCGCAGCAGGGGACAGCCACTGGAGTCCACGCTTCACACTGGTCCCTTTGTCACCCTGGGTAATTTACAGTAGTTCTCAGAGTACCGTAAGTGCAGGATAAAACCTTTACCAAGTCTCCTCACAAATGTAGACAGAATACTGTCCTGTGATAAACTTCCAAATCCAGAGCATAAAATGATAGTGTATATTGATGGTTTTCTTTTTCCTATTTTTTTCCGTAGTCTGAATTTTTGTGCTGTGTCTGTTGGAGGCTAGAGTGGTTGCAGACTTTCAGTATAGACCTTTCTTCATTAGTGGAGCAGCACCCTCAGGTTGCAAGGCACAGCTGCCCCTCCTACCTGGTTAATAATTGAAGAAGCATTAGCCCTGCATTGAGATACTGCTGTTTAGTTTTCAGGTTCACATCAAATTCTCAGTTGTTGATCATCACAACAGCACTATCAGGTTAGCAGGGAAGGGATGGTTAGCGTCATGTTACAAAGACATCTTCACAGAGGTTGAAGTCACCCCATAAGCTAATATCTAAGAAAGCCCAAACCCTGAAAGAGGAATTTCTTTTTTCTTTTTAATCAAATTTTAGGGCTCATGCCAGTTGCCACACTGTGTCTCAGAGTACAAAAATTCAACATTAATGAACCTACAATCACAGCTTGACCAGAAGTCTCTCTAGTTCAAGGACAAGAAGGTAGAATCTTTAAGGAGTCCTGGGTGATATAACTTCAAGGTAGTTATGTCATCATAACAAACATTAGACTGCTGTAAGATCTGCCCATTTCTGAAGTCACAAATAGTCAAAATAATTGCAAACGCAATTTTATATTCTCCTTCACATCTCTCAAATAACACAAAAGGGGACCCAAGCAATACTTCTGATGAACCCATGGACCTCTGCCCCCAAAATCCTGGTGCACACAGCTTCTCCAGAGTGGCATCCATGCGGTGCTAATAACACCCCCTGAACTCCCCAGCTGCCATTTAACTCCCTTTATCCTCCTCCTTAAACTCTTACCTTCTTCATGTGTTTATTCACTTAGATTTTCTTACTAACTACTCTGACTTCTCTCTCAAATATCAGCCCAAAGGTAACACAGAGGTCAAAAGGAACAGGAAAAACAGAGAAGAGAATTGTATATTCTTTCAAGTGGCCTGTGTGTTTATCCTGAGTACCAGTTACATCCCAGGACACACTGAAACAAGGAAAAACATATCTTTACACAATGATTAAAACATTCAGGTTAGCCCTTTCCTCCATCCAGAATATTTCTTAATTCTCTATTCCATATTTTATTAAATCATCTGAGTCAGACAACTCTATTTAGGTTGTGATGAGAAAGAATTATTTATTGAAATACAAAGGCATTTCTGATTAATCATTTCATTTTTCATGCACACTTCCTTCTTTCTGCTTTAATAAAGACAGTAGCACTATTCAGTCCTCTGTACACCAGGGACCTTGGTTACCAGCCTTCCACACTCTTTCAGTTCCTCTGCAAATGGTTATATGAGAAACCTCAGCTCCTGGGGCAAGGATCCTACTGCCCTGTTAGAGCAGATTTCTGGCCATTAATAAGTTCATTTTTTAACCAAAGTTCATAAATTGTTCAGTTTTCCCTAACCTATTTTTTTTTCTCTTCTAGTTTCTCATCCAAGATGCCACAATACACAGAGCCATCATGTCTCCTTACTTAGGTTCCTTTTGGCTGTGACCACTCCTCTGTCTTTTTGCTTTTTTTTTTTTTTTTTTGGTGATGGCCTTGACTGTGCCTCTATTGAGTCCTTTTTGCTCAATCTTTTTTATTGTGTTAGAATACATATAACATAAAATTTGCTATGTTAACCATTTGAAGTATACAGTTTAGTGGTGTTAAATGCAATCATAATATTTTACAACCATCCTCAGGATCCCCCTCCGTAACTCTTGTCATCTTGCAATATTGAAACTCTGTACACATTAAACAATAATTCTAAACAATGATTCCCTTCTACCTCCAGCTGCTGGAAACCACTAATCTACTTTCTGTGTCTATGATTTTGATTATTATGAGTACTTTATATAAGTGAAACTGATAGATTCATTCTTGAGCTTAAACAGGAAGAGGAAAAGGAAAAATGAACTGATGTTTAGACACATAGAGAAAAGCATCCAAGCATTTAAATCTTAATAGGAAAAACAGGAAGGGTCCTTCAAGCCTTGCCCCTGAGGGAACAGCTGGAAGTCAAGCTGTGATACAAGTATAATGAGAGAGACTTGAGGGCAAAGAGAAAGAGGGGGAACAAGAACTATTGTTCTTGGGAATTCACAAAAAAAGCAGAAAGTTGAAATGGTCAAGAAACATGCAAAAGATGCTCAATTTCTCTGATAATTAGAGATTTCATTTAGAATCACATATAATGTTATTCAACATCAGAAAATTGACCAAAACATTTCAAAGTTTGACAAATTTGAGTACTGATGGTGTAGAGACATAGAGGCATGCATACATTGCTCATAGGAATATAAATTGGTAAATCACTTTAGAAACTATTTGGAGATATTTAGTAAAGTTGAAGACCTAGTTACTGTACTACCCGTAACTCCATATCAGCATATTGATTCTATAGGGCAATCTTGAAATTATGTTATAAAGAACTAAATGTAAAAATATTCATTGTACCACTCATTGTAACAGAAACAAAAATAAAAAAAGTAAGCCCTTGGAAACTATCTAAATGTCAAATAAGATAGATAAATAAATTGTGATATAGTCACATAATGAAATACCATATATTACTGAGGATAAATGAACAGAACTAGAAAAATCAACATGGATAAATACATCTTACAAATCCAGTATTAAGGGGAAAAAAAGAAAATTGCAGAAGAATGATTTCAATATCATGCAATTTGCATAAAGTTAAAAAACATGAAAATAAATAGTGCATATTCTTTAGGGTATTTACATAGTAGTAACACAAACAAGTGTGAGTGTGTGTGTGTGTGTGTGTGTGTGAGAGAGAGAGAGAGAGAGAGAGAGAGAGAGAGAGGTGGTTTTGATGTTTGTCCTCTCTACACCTCATGTTGAAATGTGATTCCCAGTGCTGGAGGTGGGGGCCTGACAGAAGGTGTTTGGGCCACAGGGGCAGATCCCTCGTGACTAGCTTAGTACCCTCCCCTTGGTAATGAATGAGTTCTTGCTCTCTGAGTTCCCACCAGATCTGGTCATTTAAAAAATCCTGGCACCTTTATCCAACTTCAAACTGTACTACAAGGCAACAGTAACCAAATAGCATGGTACTGGTACAAAAAACAGAACACATAGAACAATGGAACAGAATAGAGAGCCCAGAATAATGCCACGCACATAAAACCATCTGATCTTGAACAAAATAGACAAAGACAAGCAGTAGGAAAAGGACTCCTTACTCAATAAATGGTGTTGGGATAACTGGCTAACCGTATGCAGAAGGCTGAAACTGGATCCCCTCCTTATACCATATACAAAAAATCAACTCAAAGTGGATTAAAGATTTAAATGTGAAACGTAAAACTATAAAAACTCTGGAATATAACCTGGAAAATACCATTCTGGACACAAGATCTAGCAAAGATTTTATGATAAAAATGCAAAAGTAATTTCAACAAAAACAAAAATTGACAAGTGGGACCTAATTAAACTAACTAATTTAAACCTAATTAAAAAGTTTCTGCAGAGCAAAAGAAACTATCAACAAAGTAAACAGACAAACAACAGAATGGCAGGAAATAGTTGCAAAATATATATCAGACAAAGGTTTAATATCCAGAATGTATAAGAAACTTAAACTAATTTACAATCAAAAAGAGGAAAACCCTGTTAAAAACTGGGCAAAAGGCATGACCAGACACTTTTCAAAAGAAAACATATGCATGGCCAACAAGCATATAAAAAAAAGTTCAACATCATTAATCATTAGAAAAACCCAAACAAAACCACAATGTGATATCATATCACATCAATCAGAATGGCTATTATTAAAAAGTCAAAAGATAACATGTTGGTGAGGTTGTGAAAAAAAGGGAGTGTTTACACACTGCTGGCAGGAATGTAAATTAGTTAAGCTATTGCGGAAAGCAATATAGAGAATTCTCAAAGAACTTAAAACAGAATTACCATTCAACCCAGAAATCCCATTATTAGGTATATGCCAACAGGAATATACATTTTTCTACCATAAAGGTACCTGCACTCATATATTCGTTGCAGCAATATTTATAAAAGCAATGACATAGAATCAATCTAAATGCCCATCTGTGTAGACTGGATTAAAAAAAAAAGTGGTACATGTACACAACGGAATACTATACAGCCACAAAAAAGAACGAGGTCATGTCCTTTGCAGTAACATGGATGGAGGTGGAGGCCATTATCCTAAGCACACTTACACAGGAACAGAAAAACACATGCCACATGTTCTCACAGGTGGGAGCTAAACTTTGAATACAAATGGACACAAAAAAAAGAAGAGACGCCTGGGCTTACTTGAAGGTGGAGGGTGGGAGGAGAGTGAGGATCAAAAAACTGCCCATCAGATGCTATGCTTATTACCTTGGTGACAAAATAAGCTGTACACCAAACCCCCATGACACACAATTTACCTATATAACAAACCTGCACATGTATCCCTGAACCTAAAATAAAAGTTAATAAAGAAAAAACAATATATTTTTAAAATCTGACAGAAAGAAAAAAAAAATAGATCCTGGCACCTCCCCACACTCTCTCTTGCTCCTATTCCTGCCATGTGACACACCAGCTCCCTCTTCACTTCTGCCATAACCATAAGCCTCCTGAGGCCTCACCAGAAGCAAATGCCAGCACCATGCTTTCTGTACAGACTGCAGAAGCATGAGTCAATTAAACTTCACTTTAAAATAAATTTCTCAGTCTCAGTTATTTCTTTATAGTGACACAAAGGGCCTAACACAGTGATAACAGTGAATTCATGTGATGAGCGCATTTTGGAGAGATGACCTTGAAATAATGCAATTGGTGAGGGTTATACAAGGACCACAAATAATTTGCTACTTCTTATGCTTAATGTGTTTTGCATAGATGTTGATATTTTTTCTTACAGTTTTATATGTCTAAAATCTTTCACGATTTTTTATTTTAAAAATCCCATGGTTCTGGCTATGTAGAACACAGCTTTACTCCCAGGACTCAGCTGGATTCTTGAACTTGGGAGGGTGGCCCTGCCACTGGTGGGGGAAAATTGAAACAACCACTGCTAGTGGAAGCCAGGTGAGAAACTCTAATAGTTAAGGGGATGAGTTCTATTGGTCTGTGAAATATAAGTGTAATGGAACCCAAGTTCAGCTGCTCCCTACTCAAAAGCCAAACTTGAGAGACAAGAGTGCGTACGAGGAAAAACAGGTTTATTAAGGAGCTGTCAACCCAACCAGATGACAGACTGGTGTCACAGAGACTATCTCAAGTTTTTCAGACTGGCTAAGGGTTTTATGGGAGGGGGAATATAGTGAAACTACGTGTATCAGCTAACAATGTATAGGTCAGTATGTCTGGTCTTGATGACTATACTGAGCAATGGGCCACCTGGTGGGCTAACTGGTGTGAGCTTAATTGCAACTGGAATACAGATTACTGCTCAGCATTCTTCTCGGGGTGGAACATTGCACAACCTTGATTCTATGCTTAGTGTCTCAAGGCTAGTTTCTGGAGTTCTTTAAGCAAAGTACTTAAATTAAGCCTTATTAAAAGCCCAGCATAGGAAGGAGGTAATAAAAGAAAAACAAAGAATAATAGTTTTTCAAGATAAGCCTGTAGTTTCTGTTACAAATTTCGCATTGCAATTTTTTCATTCCATTTTTATGGAAAGTGGGGCATCAATACTAGTTTGGATACTTCTTGCTAGATGGGGGTGTGAATTGGAAATTTTGGAATGAAACCATTTGATCTGGCAGTGAGCTGATGTTTGGGTCCTTTTTCTGGTGTGTGTGTTTCCAAGTTTTCAGAGGGACCTGCTCTCCCAGTAAGATTGCAGGGCCACGCACATGGGATGAGTGGTCCTGCTGGAAGCAAACTCATGAACAGAAGTTAGTATAGTGCCTAGAGTCGTAATATATCTGACAGTTGCTAAATTTCTTATATCAGTTGGCTGTCCCACCTTGGCAGAAGCTTGGAGTGGCCTACTTTATGATATTTTAAAGGGACTTGATTTGTGTCTGTTTTGGAGGAGCCATTTTAATTTACAACAGGGCAACCAGCAACACTTTATCTCAAGTCAAATAAGTTTTTGACATATTTTGGTAATGCTTTTTTTCCCCTAGCATAGGGTTTATCTTCTTAATTTTTTTCTGTTGATTGAGGTCTACAAAATGACAATTTAAAGGTTGCAGGAAGAGACACATCACGGGTTTCACTTTGCATTCCTACAACCATCATAGTCTGTTTAAAATCAGGTGATAGATGGGTGTTAACTATAAAATACATGGCTCAATATAAATAATAATGGTTTGTTCCCCCTTGTCAGTTTTACCCAAGGCTCTTGTGGGGATATGATGACAGATTGGCTAAACATACATATTCAACAGGTTATAGAAAGAGCTATGAATATTCATGACGATCATACTCACACATGTGTATTGAACAAACACATGTAACATACAACCAATCTTTACTTTGGGGTGTAGATTTAACATTTAAATGTATAAAATTAGTCCTATAGATCAAAAGATATTTCTTAGGGCACAAATGCATCTAAGTGCATCATCTCTGTAACTGTCCAGAACTAGTCTGCGGTTTGTCTTTTTTATCAGGAGAAAGTTACTGAAATCAGTCTCTCGTATAATTAAGGCTGTAGTTCTGGCTGGTGGAACAGAGGCTGGAGGTCAGTTAGTCAGCATCCGGCAGAGCTGCAAATTGTTTTGATATTTCTTACCTCAAGGCCAGTGCTTGCTTAGTCGCTAGAGAAAAAGAAAACACCTGTGGCAGTTAGAACATAGTTTACTTTTTCAATGTAGGACTGTGTGACTTAACCTTTACCTGGCATGGCCTTAGGTCCTGTTTATAGTCTGACATCTTATTTCCACAGAGTCTGTTCTGTCAGTTTTATGAGTTCTGTTTTAACATTTGTGTCAATCAGTTGTTGTGTCTAAACCATAAAATGAAGGGGATACAATGAGGCATGTCTGATCTCCCATCCTGTCATGGTTGGGAATCACATTTTTAAGGTATTTCCATGGTTCTGCTGACCTAAAAGGGGTTCATTCAGTCAGTGGAGGACTGAAGATTTTATTTTATTTTTCAAATGTTATTTTATATTTAACAGGTACATGTGCACCTTTTTTCCATGGGTATATTGTATAATGCTAAGGTATGGGGTATGGATCTCATCACCCAGGTAGTGAGCACAGTGCTCAACAGGTAGTTTTTCAACCCTTCCCTCCTGTCCTTTCTCCCTGACCTAGCAACTCCCCATGTCTGTTGTTCCCATCTTATGTCCGTGCATACTCAGTCAGGATTCTCTAGAGGGGCAGAGCTAATGGAATATATATTAATAAGAGTTTTTTAAGCATCAACTCACATGATCACAAAGTCCCACAATAGGTCATCTGC